TGCGCCATGTCAATATTGCACTTGCAGCATGTATTATCAGCATATAGGGCAAACATTACACGTGCTTCAATCAAATAGCTGTATCTCAAAGTCTGTGCGGAATAGTCCTCAGCTGGGCTAAGAGAGACAGCCTAGGAAGTCCAAGCACAGTAAGTCAAGAGCAGTGTCTGCTGTCTCTGCAAGGGTTGCATACATTCAATCATCTGCTTCGGGCAGTCAAGGTCAGGCCAACTGTACTTCAGCTGTTCAAAGAGTGGGCCACAAGCTGTCCTGCAACCCCAGTGGCCTTAGGAGTAAGCTAATCAGACCATTGAGGCTGTTTTGTCATTCAGTGAGATCACGACTGATCTGAAAATCTGCTTTCCTGCTCTTTCCCATAACCTTGATTTCCTTACTCATTAAAAATCTGTCTATCTTAGCCTTGAATATTCTGAATGACCTGGCCTCAACAGCCCTCTTTGGTAACGTATTTCACAGATTCATTACCCTCTGAGTAAAGACATTTGTCCTCATCTCTGTCTTTTAAATGTGTTACCACTTACTCTGAAATTAAAGGTAAGAAGTCTGGGGTCTGGTCAGTCATTATTTGTCCATCCAAGTTGGTCAGGATGAGCGGGCTATGGTCAGTTCTGGAGGTTAGCTCAATGAAAGTCAAGGGAGGGTTAAAAGGGGTCGCAGTTGTGGTAGGGAAGTTTAGGGAAGTCAATTATGGGGCAGCATGCTGGGATGCAGAGTGGATTATAATTGTTAAAAGGGCGCAACTCAGCAGGAGGACGTAAGTTATTGCTGGGATGGGGGTTTGACAATCACAACCACCTTGGTTTAACAGGGGTCAGTGCAGCACAATGGTTAGCATGGCTAAGTTGTAGGCTACACTGTAATTTCACCGTAACTATAGAGAGTTGTGAACGCAGCCCAGACCATCAAAAAAGCCATTCTTCTTTCCATTGCTTCCATCTACACTACCTGGTGCCTCAGAAAAGCAGCCAACATAATCAAGGATCCCTCCCATCCCAGTTATACTTTCTTCCACCCTCTTCCATTGGGCAGAAGATACAAAAGTTCAAAAACATGCACCAACAGATTCAAAAATAGTTTCTTCCCTACTGTTATCAGACTTATGAATGGATCTCTCATGTATTAGAATTGATCTTTCTCTGCACCTTCTCTGTAGCTGTAACACTATATTCTACGTTCTGTTCTATTACCCTGATGTACTTAAGTAAGGTCTGAATTGTAAGGTTGGCACAGAAAACAATAATTTTCACTGTATCTCAGTACATGTGACAATAAAAAATCAAATTAAATCAAATCAGCACTGGGCATTGGGAGAAGAGCAGCACTCCCTTAAACAGGGTTCTAAGATGGAATGAGGCTATGGATGGGTATTCTATGTAGCTTTGTTCTTAAATAGTATTGGTTTACAAATGTGCACTTGTATTTGTAACTCAGTATTAGTCGTGCCACATATGTGCCCTGAGAAACATTTGTTTTTGGTTCCCCTCCCATTATTTTAATGGTGAGGAGAATCTCCTGGCTGACAGCACTTGACTGCATACGCAGCTAGTTTTAAAAGTGACACTGGTTCGGGGAATCCCAAGAGATCTCAGCAGTGGTGAATCCGTCTGCCTCTGGTGAGAGGGCAGCTAGAACAAGTGAAGAGCCATAGAGACACGGTGCATTGGTAATAAGGTGAGTTTCAGAGAATAGTGTGAGAAATCTCGGTAGGGCTCACGGAGAGAAACCTTCAATGAAACTTGCCAAAACTGACATTCAGCATTTTGTCTAAAATTCACGAATGCAACTTTCTTAAAAGCTCTTCCACCTCCTGCCTTACTTGTGCCTCTATCTTGCCTCCTTTAAAATTAGAAGAGGTTGAGTTTGAAATGCTTTAAATTTAAACCTCAAGCAAACCCATATTCAGTAGTTTTGGGGTTAAAATTCCTCTCTAAGATCTTGCATTATGACAGCCACTGACATACATTCAATTTTGTGGTTTGCGAATATTGTGATACTGAGGTATTCCATTCCTGAACATTCTTGACATTGTCAGTTTCATGGCTCCATTCCAATTCTTCAGTTTTCCTGCTGGTATTATATTTGGACCAATCCATCTATTATCTAAATTTTCAGGAAGGGAAGATATACACAGCACATATGAGGCAGATAATGACTTTTTTCCACTTCTTGGAGCTGTTTGGCCTCTGAATGTGAATGTTATAAAAAGACTGGAATCCCATGCTGATACCAGCGGCTATTCATTTACAGCGGCACAATAGATCTTCATTTTCTTACCATGTTAATGGAGCTCATATGGAACTAATGACCACCTATCTTCAATTCACTATAGCGTGTGTGACACTTTCAATCTGAATCTCAATAACCTTCAACTGTTATCCATAAAAAGGACGGTTCAATAAGACATGGATCATTCACTTTGAATAACTGTAAGTCATTTATGACAGACACAGCCAGCAAATCACAGGAACTGCTGAGTTCTTTCCCTGTCATAGTGACAGCCTCTTCATAGAACTCTGGGAATGATCATCTGCAATTGTTCCAGCCGCATGCTGTTAATGAGCATCCTTGATGAGATTGCTCACCCAGATATAAACTGAGATGGACGTGGTTCACAATAAAGATTCATCTGTCTCTGAAATGACTGCAGAGGTTCTGATTGTATCAACTTATTAACCTCTTGATGGATGTTATCTAATCAGATCAAAGGCTCAAAGTGGATCAAGTTTCTCTGGGACAACAAGGTGCAGGGCTGGATGAACACAGTAGGCCAAGCAGCATCATAGGAGCAGAGAGGCTGACGTTTCGGGCCTAGACCCTTCATCAGAAAAGGGGGAGGGGGAGGGGGTTTTGAAATAAATAGGGAGAGAGTGGGAGGCAGATAGAAGAGAGATAGACGAGAGGATAGGCGGAGAGGAAACAAACAGGTCGAAGAGGCGGGGATGGAGCCAGTAAAGGTGAGTGTAGGTAGGGAGTTAGGAAGGGGATAGGTCAGTCCAGGGAG